GTGTGCTCGGCAATAAAAGTATGTTTTTTAACAGGAAATACACCCACATGGTTCAAAATTTGAAAGGTATAATAATGCACACAGTGGAAAGTTTCCCTCCCAGTCCTGCCCCCAGCCTCCCAGAACCAAGATAATTCTCAAGATAATTTAGGGTGTACAAGTGTGCATATGTGTGTTTTTTCTAATACATGTTTTTTTCATCCTCACCTGAGGATATTTTTCCATTTATTTTCAGATAGAGTAGGAGGAGAGAGAGAGAGAAATATCGATGTGAGACAGACGCATCGATCGGTTGCCTCCCACATGACCCCAATCAGGGCAGGGGACTGAATGCAACTGAAGAACGTGTCCTTTATCAGAATCAAACCCACGACTCTTTGGTCCTTGGGCCAACTCTCTAACCACCGAGCCAAACCAGCCAGGGCTATCATGTATTTTTAAAGTTAATGTTCTATCAAAACCATAAATAAAAATCAGTCTCACTTGCTTATGAATATAAAGTAATGGTAAAAATAAATATGATGAATACAAAATAAAAGTAAATTCCTAGAAGACTTTGCTTGTTAAAGAGTCGAAGCTTGAGAGCATGCTCTCCCTCTCCAGAGCAGGCCCACACTGTCCCCTCTCGGGCGTGCGTCACCTAAACTCTGAAAGTCCCCACCAGACTTGCAACCAGGGAAGCAATGGGCAGTGGCAGCTTGTCCTGGGCTCATCCCCTGAACCTGTCTCCAAGGCCTCCTTTTCTCTGACTTTTCAAGGAGCTCAGAGCAGCTCTGCCTTGGCTCACTTCTGTCACTGTGACTTTTATTTCTCAATGAGCCAAAGCAGCCCCATCTAGGCTCAGTTCCCCATCTTGGCTCTCCTGTTGCTTCTTCTACCCTGGCCCTTCCTTGTTTCACTGTTCCCAGCTTTAATAGACATCCTCCCAAAATAAAAATAAAAATGTAAAAAGGAGTCTAAGCCTGAGATGTGCTCTTGCTCTGTGACAAAGACAAGTAAGTGGCAGAGAGGTGGTAAGGACCTAAGAGTCCCAGTGGAGATGCTCCCTAGACAGAATCGGCAGGATTGTGGCGGTACCGGGAAGGGAATAACATTCTCATGTGGCGTCACTGATGAATGCCAAGGCTATCCCAGTATAACCACCACACAATTGGTAAAACATCCCTTCCAGAGGTTGTTTACTTCATGGCCTTGAGCTGAAAAACTAGCTCTGAGTTAGAATCAGCTTTGCCACTTTCTGCTTGTGTGACCTTCTCTGAGGATCACTACCCTCATTGGTTTGAAAAAGAAAACAGCATCGAGAGTCCCCACCAAAGGGCGATCTTGAGTGCAGCCCACAAGACATCTCTGAGTCCCCATTCCTCCCCCCTGTGGACATTCAGAGCATCTCACTACCAAAAATGAGACTGCAGAAAAATGTAAAGAAGAAAAGTTAAATCACCAGGAATCCTGTGACTCACATGTTCTGAAATTTCTTTTGTCTTTTTTTCCCAGAGGAATTTTTTTCTCATAATTGCAATCATGCTGGATATAGCTTGATATGATGCTTTGTCATTTTTCACTTATATCATGAGAATTTCCCATTTCACTAAAAACTCTTTGTTGTTGTTGTTGTTAATCCTCATCCAAGGATATTTTTCCATTGATTTTTAAATAGAGTAGAAGAGACGGAGGGAGAGAGACAGAAACACTGATTCAAGAGAGACTCATCGACTGGTTGCCTCCCGCACACATGCTAGGACACAGAAGCTCTCCTACTCAGTATCTACTGCAGAGAAATCTTTGCACACATGCTCATAGAGACATGTATAAGGATGTTCATTTCAGCATTGTTTGCAATAATAAAACTTAGAAACAAATAGCAATTAATCAGAGCATGATTAGTAAGCAATGGCAGAGTTATAGAGTGGGATACTACACAGCAGTTAAAAAGGAAAAGGTATGCTCTCTATGGTAACGAGCAGATCTCCTGACTATGCCTGAATGAAAAAAAGGCATATTGCACAACACATAGAATAAGATGTCAGATTCACATAGAATACGATGTATTATATACTTTCTGTGGGACATAAACATGTACAGAAAGTCCTGGAAAACTACTCACCAAACTGGTGAGGGAGGAAGACAAGGGCTTGGAATTGGGGATCATCATCAGAGAACTTTCCCCTTATTTGTCTGATATTAAGTATATTCATGCATTATTTATAATTTTTTAATTTTTAAAATAATTTTAAGAACTCATATGCCTGAGAACCCTCAGCCAGCACCAATGCAAAACTTCATAGATATCTCTTATTTGATTTCAAAAATTCATGCAAATCCTATACTCTCAGATATGTTTGTTTTACTACAAATAAGATGTTTTCAATGTTTACTTATTGGTTAAATTCCCCAACTTTCCTCCCCCACCACCATCACCAAGAAGAGTCTGCAGAAAGTTAGTACTCCAAGAGGCACCAAGCACGTGGACTCAGGTACTTCATGGTTGTGCCACCCTTGTTCCCTGGGGATACTCGAACCCCCAGGGAAGAGGCAACCAAGCCTAGTGGAGTGTTAGCTGTTTTGAGGCCTGGTGTTGTGAGGATGAGAACAGTGAGAGTACAGAGTTATCGACACATAACAAGCTCTCAATAACTGTCTTTGCTTGCAGTTTAGCAGGGCGCTGGCAGGTGCCAGTCTGTCCTCGAACACCGGAGGTCAGGAGCACACGGATCCTCTGAGCAGCCTACTGCTCTGGGTTCCGAGTCTCCACAAGGGGGAGCAGTAAAGCAGGAGATGCTGATCCTTTGAGAAATGGGTGCTGAAGGAACCCACTTCTCTGTTCCCATTTCACCTCCTACATCCCCAGGGAGATTCTGGCTGAGCCAGGCAGCCACCATCCAACAAGGAACACCCTGGCTAGGCAGCTTTCCACAAACTGGCCTCATCATGACTGTCTTGGCTCAGGGACCTCCTCTCTCACTCCGCGGCCATGGCCAAGGTCAGCGGGTCATTTCCCTCAATGCAGAGCTCACGCCAGAGTAACTGCCTGCACGAAGAACCTAGAGGCTGTGAGAAGAAAGCTTCCTCTGCAGCTCCAGCAAGGAGGGCAGGCGACCGAGGGCGCAGCCGAAGGGCACTAAACCCATCCCTGCGTCTGTGCCAGGCCCAGTGCCCGCAGGCTGCCTGCAGCCAACCACTGAGCACGGCGGGACGCACAGGGCTCCTCGCAGGGGTGGCTTCGTGGAGCAGTCCCCACAGCAGTCACTCCCCACCCAGACCCCTCCCTGGCTCCTTCACTCGGGGCGGACTGGCATCCGAATCTGACGGCTCCATTTTCTCTCATCCGTCTTTGCACATTTGCTCCTGCCTCTGCGTCTGCTGCTCCGTCCCCATTTCCTCAGCGAGGGGCTCTGGACCCCACCGTCCCTCCCAGATGCCCATGACATGGGTTCGGGAGTGTGGGATGCACACTGTAGGAGGTGCTGGGGTTGAGAGAGGATGAGAAATGGTGGTGTTTCCGGGGAGTCCTGAAGGGTGAGCGAGAGCCACTCCTGGCGGGGGCGGAGCAGGGGAGCGGCCCGGGTGGGGCTGGAGAAGAGCAGGTCCCTCCATGCCCTGTGCCCAGCCAAGCACAGGGCTCTCCTGGAAGCAACAAGGAGCCCTCGAAAGGGTCGAGCCACAGAGTCACGTGACCACATTTGTGTTTTCCGAAAGAGTGGATGGGTCAAGAACAAAGGCCCCGGCACTAAGGAGGTTACTGCCCAGCAATAGGTCATTTGTCTCTCCACACAGATTTAATGAGGAAGCAGTCAGAATACAACAGTTTTTATTAATACTGCTGGATTTTACAACCAAATAACCCTTCACTTTATTGTTTTATTTTCTAGCATGAAAGAGCTCCTCAAATTAATTCTCTCGTCTGTGCCCCAGAGCCAGGGCCCAGGGGGCCTTCCTCCGGGACACAGCCAGGAGTGACCCCCAACCAGATCTTGAGGCCTTTCTTACCTACCCACAGCCTCCCTTTGGCCCCATCTCTTAGTTCCATCACCCAAGGAAACTCCCGCTTTGACACCAGTCGCCAGGGGTCCTCAGGCCCGCCGCGCATCCCCAGCAGCATCCCCGCCTGTGAGAGCCAGTGCCGGGGCCATCATCTCCCACCTGCTGAATCACCAGAGGCCTCAGCTCAGTGGTTACTGCAAAGCCCAGAAAATGGGTCTTTGAGCTAAAACCAAGGAAGGTGTGAACCAGCAGGTACACTTGGGGACCAACTCAGGGGAATAGGGTGGGGAACCTTCTATTCTCCACAAGGGGCAGGGCCCAGGGTGGGGTTGGCATCAGGCTTTTCTCTTGGTTGGCAACTTGGGGGATTTCCTCAAAGTCCAAGACACTCAGAAAACACTCCCAAAGGGAAAGGGAAACAAGCTGGGGGGCTCTGGCAGCTGTGCATGGTTGCTGAATGGAGGGGTGTATTTTAGATTTTCTATGCCTGGCAGCTGATAGCCATCTGATGAGCACCTAAGTCAGGGTTCTCCAAGGGTGACCTGCAGCATCAGCATCTCCTGGGAACCTGTTAGAAAGGCACATTTTGGCCCGCCCTGGACCGACTGAATCGAACCTCAGCCATCTCTCTGTGCTTTGCCAAGTCCCTGCAGTGTGCCTGGAAGAGGCGGTGTTAATGCCTGCTTCAGTAGAACACTAAGTGAAAGGCCCTCCGGTCTGGTGAGCCTGCCCCAGGTCCTCCAGGAGAGGAATGAGGCTGCAGGGGATGCCCCTCACTCTAGAGTCCTCCAGCTCCTCCCTCGTCCTCCCCAGGCCCCTGGCCCTTTTCCCTCCTTCCCTCAACCTCAGTTCTTCCTGGAACATTTGTGCCTCCTGGTTCCCAAACTGAGATTTCCTCCTTGACCGGACTTTAGACCTCCCTTCCCCACCACCACCTAACCCCTCCCTGGCAGCCCCTGTTCATGCCAACCCCCAACTTCTCAAAACTCTTGGAGACCCCAGCCCCGTCCTCCCCCCAACCCTGCACTCTCAACCCGGCCGGCAGCTCAAGCCTCCTGGGCCTCCGGCCCCACCAGCAGCAGGGGCTGAGCGTTCTTGCCCTTGTCGTGCCAGCACACGTCGAAGAAGGGGTACACGGCACCAGGGAGGCGCTCGTGGAAGGCAAAGAGCAGCTCCAGCGCGTCCGCGTCGCTGGCATCGTAGAAGGACAGGACGCCGTCGCGGAAGCTTAGGTAGACCCCGACGCGCACCGGCCGCCGCTCCGGGTTGCGCAGTGCCCGCGGCTCCTTGGCTTCCACGTGCGCCTCCAGGATCTTGCCGTCACGCAGCCCGAGCAGCCAGAAGCCCTGCGAGGGCACAGTGTGCAGCCGGCCTCGGCGGCCGGCCTGGGCGGCCATCACACCGAGGGCCCAGCGCGGCTTGTCGCCCACCTCCACCTCCCAGTAGTGCTCGCCCTCAGAGAGCAGCTGGTGCGCCACCACCGCCACGGCCTTGTCGAACTGGCGCGGGTCCTCTCCGGCGGGCGGCGCTTTCTGCTCCGAGCACTCCACGCGGCGGCCAGAGAGAGACAGCACCAGGCTCGGGTGGGCGGTGCTCGGGTCAAAGGTCAGCTCCACCACTGCCAGAGAGACCAGTCAGGCCCCTGCGTGTTAACCGCCCGGAGCCTTTTCCCACAACCAACTAATGAGCCAGCCTCTTCTCTAATCCTCCCGCCCCTCTGGGGGGTGAACCCCTCTCTGCTTACTGGTTGGGGGCACAGACTGCACCTCTCTGAGCTTCAGTTTGCTCAGCTATAAACTTAGGTCATAATTGCCTCCTCCCAGGGCTGTAGGTGGATGAAGGTGATACAGACATAAAACTCACCACCTAAGGCCCAGGTCACACAGTAGGAGACAGTCAGGAAGCCTGCCCTGGGCAGCCTCTATCTCACCTGCTGTGACCTCAGTCAGTCTTGACCCAGTCTCTGGGCATCAGTGTTCTCTTGGATAAAACAGAGGTCCCCCCATCCCCACCTCCCCCAAGGCAGCAAGGGCTGCACAGCCATGTGTACGTGTCCTGAAGCTCTGTAAACGGTAGCACCCCAATGTACTCTAGCTCTTGGGGAGAGGAGCTGAGCCTTTGGGCTGCCCCAGCCACAGGTCACCAGAGTCAGAGTCTGGCCCAGGCCAGTCCCGAGGGCTCGTCTGCAGACCCTCAGCCCCAGTCAGCAGGGATTATCATCTCCACTGTGCAGAAGGGGCAGAGACTGGTCAATGATCACACGGGGTTCACGCCTAGCCCCAGCCTCCCCTGCTGCAGCTGCAGCAGCACCCTTCCTGTAAGCAGCACCCTCTCCGTGTCAGTCACCCACCTATAGACCCCATACCCTCAAAGGTCCTTCTCTTAGCATAGGTACGAGGGTACAAAGGACACCCTAGAGGTGAAGGGGCAATGAGCGCTTCTTCAATGACCTTCGTAGCTGAGATTGGGAGGGAGGCCTCTCTGTGTGGCTGCGGCCTCCCATCAACCACACAGTTGCGAACAAGCCCGGAATCTGTCCCTCCCAGTACCTGGCATCAGAGCACGGAACATCTTCCTCCACACCTGGAATTTGAAGTCATCTGAGATGACAGGCAGCTGGATGTCCAGCCGGGCTGGTGGTGGTGACTCTGCCAGGATCTTCTGCAGCCTGGGGGTGGGAGGTGTGGGGAGGTCTGTGAATGGACTTCCCGGGGAGGCCTGGAGGGGGAGGGCAAGAGGCAGTGCCAGGAAGAGAGGAGGACAGGGCTGTGGGGGTTCCAGGATCTCTCCACATCCTCTGCTGAAGTCTCATTTCGGAAAGACGAAAAGTCCTGGCCCTGGCCAGGTGGCTCAGTTGCTTGGAGCACTGTCCACTGCACCAAAAGGTTGAGGGTTCATTTCCTGGTCAGGGCACGTATGGGAAGCAACCAATTGATGTTTCTCTCTCACATCAATATGTTTTTCTCTCTCTCTCCCTCTCTCTCAATTTCTAAAATCAATAAACATATTCTCAGGTGAGGATTTTTTTTAGAAGATGAAAACTTCTGGAGATGGATGGTGGTGATGGTTGTACAACAACATGAATGCACTTAATGACACTGAAGCTAAAATGTACACTAAAAAATGGCTTAAATGGTCAATTTTGCCCTGGCCGGTTTGCTCAGCGGTTAGAGCGTCGGCCTGCGGTCCGGAGAGACCCGGGTTCGGTTCCCGCTAAGGGCATGTACCTCGGTTGCAGTTTGTCCCTGGCCCTCACTGGGTGGTGCGGGTGGCAGCCACTTGACGTGTCCCTTTCGCATCGATGTTTCTCTCCCTCTCTTTCCCTCCCACTCTATCTGAACAAAAAATGGAAAAATGTCCTCAGTTGAGGATTAAAAAAACAGGTCAAATTTATTTTATGTACATTTACCAGAATTGTTTTAAAGTCCTGGTGGGATAAGGTCCGAGCCTCAGCTCCACAGCTTGCCCCTGCTATGCCAGCACCATCTTGCCTCCCCCTCTGCCCGCAGTGCTCTTGGCCAGCTCTTGCCCTGACTAACTCCAGCTCACTCCTCCAGGTCCAGCTCAGTGGTGCTCTCCTCTGGAAACCCACCTGGCCCCCCCCTTCCCTCCAGGGCAGCACAGAGCGCGCACTGACGCCTGTGTCCCTGCCCACCTCTGTCTGGGAGGTTCCTGAGGAGAAGGTTAGTTTCTATGTTCAAAACACCATGCAGACTCTGGGGCAGGGGGGAGGTAAACCAAAGAACTTATATGCACATATGGGTAACCAGTGGACATAGACAATAATGCTGGGGAGGGGGAGGGATCAGGAGGAGGGTGTCTAGGGGGAAAAAGGAGAAACATCTGTAACAAAAATAAATTAATAAAACTTGCAAAAAAAAAAGAAAACCACCGTGCAGGGAAATTGTGGAGGGCTGAATGGGAGTAGGCAGGCATATTGTGAGTAGAGGGTGAGCCAGCCAGTGTCCCTGAAGACTAGGGCAAGTTGGGGAAACGGGCAGGACCAGGTTGATCTCACCTGCTGGTCACCAGGCAGTATTTCTGGGGAGAGAGAAAAAGAAAATGGAGGTGAGGCAGGCAGGAAGGACACTGAAGACTTCTCAGGATGAGGTGTTCCAAGAATGCTGAGCAGGGTCAAGAAGAATTAGAAAAGCCAAAAAAAAAAAAAACACAACAAAATTCAAGCCCACCCCCTAGCTCTTTATCTGTGTAAATTAGAAAAAGATACCTCCTTCCTTAAGAAACTAATTGTACGTAGTAGAAGATTGTCCTAAGACATACACAAACCTACAATGTCTATTCTATGAATGGTGCCACTTATAGTGCCCTAGTGCAGTACCCAACCTAGACAACTGTAACAGCAGCCCTGGGGCTCACCCCTCCTCCATGTGTGACCCTGGCTTGTCTCTGCCCCTCTCCAGACCTCAGGCTTCCTGCCTGACCGTGGGATGAGGCATCTGGGGCCTGAACCCTGAGGGGCAGAGAAGGAAGGTCATCCAGGCTCACCATGAGGAACTCAGTCTGCGGCTTGTCTGCCACCTCCTCCAGCACCTTCTCCATCTGCCGCAGCTGCTCCAGGTAAGAGTTCAGGCTCCCCAGCTCCCGCTGCAAGGCAACCGCCGCCTCGCTCCGCACGCGCTCTGCCTCGCGGTCCAAGGAGCCCTCCAGCGCAGCCAGGAACAGCCGCATCTTGCCCAGCTGCTCCCCCACAGCCCCCTGGAACTGACGTACTGTCTCCTGGGAGGGCAGACAGGCAAAAGCACTTGGCTGGGGACCCCTAGCCTGGACCCCAAGTCCCCGGGCTCTGCCATGCTGAGCCCTCACCTCCACCTCCATCAGCTGATGCTCCAGCACAGCCACACTCTTCTCCTTGCGCGTACAGGCCTCCTGCAGCTGCAGCTTCTGCTGTGGGAGCTGCGTCTGGGGGTGAGACATAAAGAACAGACATAGCGGCCCCCAATCTGAACTCCCCCTCTACAACTCAGCCTCAGCGCCAGCTCCTCCTCCACTCCCCAAACCCACTTGCAGGTCTTCAGGCCCTTACCAGTACTGGTCCTGATGTCTAGAACACCTCCACTTGCCGGTTTAGGTTAAGTCCTCTCTAGCCTGAGCCCATCCTCTCATTAGTCAGCCCCCCAGCACAGGTCTTTGTGAGGACAACAAACACAAGTGTGATTGGGTCTCCTCCACCAGAGGGGTATGGAGTTGGCCCCTGCAGTCTTCAGAGGGTGAGTGTAGGATGTTTGAAGTAGAAATGCAACCTTCTCCGATCCTGGGCTTCACCTGGGCTTCATTAGCAGAACTAATATTAGCAAAATACCCCAATCAGCCTCCCTGCGCACCATGGGCTACCAGTTTGTTCTTGAAATGCAGATTTAGGAGCTCCAAATACCTCCTGCCAAAGCTACTCTATTGGGAGGTGCGTGGCCCTGGAATGAGTTTTCCATTCCTGCCTCCATAGCTTCCAACCTCAGTTTCCTCTTCTGCAGAATGGGAATAGTCATCTGTACCTCACCTATGCTTGCTCCAAATGTGCAGCCTCCCCCCACTTCCCCTAAGGGACACTGGGAGAGCCACTAGGTGCTGTTTGTTGAGTGCCTGCTGGGTGGGGCCACTGGATTGACCTGTGGGGCTTTCGGTGCCTGCACCAGGACAATCCTCTCCAGGAGGTCCTCCAGGGTGACAGCCCCGCCTGCTGTAGGAGAGGATGGGCCTGGTGGCGCTGGGCGCATGGCCATCGCAGGTTCAGAGAAGGCAAACCTGAGCCAGGGGGAGGTAGAAGCGATGCCCTCCTGGAGGCGCTGGAGAACCTGACCGCAGATGAGCTCAAGAAGTTCAGGCTGAAGCTGGGGGCGGCGCGGCTCTGCAAAGGTTTGAGGAACACCCCACGGGGGTACGCTGGACCTCACTGACAAGCTGGTCACCTTCTACTGAGACAACTAGAACGCCGAGCTCACCGCAATCAGCCTGTGTGACATGGGCAGGCAGGAGGAGGCTGCATAGCTTCGGGGACTCGCGTGAGTTTCCCGTGTCTGTCAGATCCTATTCAACTACTCTTGAGTCTTGGCACATGGTCAAGTCTGGACCCAGCCCCTCTTCCTCTCCAAAAGCCTAGGCATCCAGTCTGGTCCCAGCCTTCCTGTCCCGCCCCAGTGGTCCTGTTCCCCTCCTCCAGACCTCTGGCCAGTCCCTCCCTGACACTTAGGGCTGAGCCTATGTATATCCTGGCAATTTGTATCCTGCCCCACTTGTCCCCTGGAGGCTCCTTGGACTCCTAATGCCCTGTCTCATTTCACACACTGTTATCTCTTCACAGATAAGAGTGGACGAGGTTAGGAGTTACACGGTTTGCAGCAGAGGTGAGCCTGAGTGGGAGGCTCCTGGGAGTTGGAGCCTCCTGCTCTGGACTAGGAGGCCACCAGCCTGCATGGGTTTGACCGTGTACCGCAGGCAGGTTGGAGGGAGGGAGGTGAGGCTGGTCCCTGGGGGAGTCTGGAGGCCCCGAATACGAGCCTGAGGACTGGGGTCTATCCCCTCAAGAAGTCTGGGGGCCAAGGAGAAATGTAGTGCAATGCTGGTGTTTGTGGGCAGAGATGACCTGCAGACGCCCACCGGGACCACCAGCCCTGAGAAGACGATGGCAGCTTCTTCACGGCCCCTCCATGCCTCCAGCCTCCTCCTCCTCCTGCCCCTGCACCTGTTGTTTATTCTAACACATCACAATAAAGGCTTCATGACAGACTTTGCTGGGCCTGTGTAGACACATAACCTCCTGTGATTTGCCACACGTATGGCATGGGCGAGCCAATATGCGCCTGTGTCTCCATTTGCCAAGGTCTAGGTTTCTTTTCTGGGCCCCCGTGGGAATCGCAAACCTCGGAGTGCGCACAACTACGTGTGGGCTCTGGAAGCGTTGAGGACTAACAGGTCCAACCAGTTAAACAGTCTTGTCTCGAGCCTGGGTGCCAGCCTGCGCCTGCGCACAAAGCCGCGTGCCCGGGCATGCCCGGAAAACCGAAGTTTGCGCCACGCCGGTCCCCCCGGGCTCGCCCCTGCGCACGTCCCGAACGCTTCCCGCTCCTGCGGCCCCGCCTGCAGCTCCGCAGCCCCGCATTCCCTGGCCGCCTCGCCCTCCCGCAACGCCGGCGCCCCGGCCCTGAAGGTCAGAGTCAGTGCAGCAACCCGCGACGGGCCCTGCCCATCCAGCAATCCCCTACGACCCCGAACCCGCCGGCGGCCGCAGGGCCCCACACCTTGAGGCGCGCGTGGGCTTCAGCTGCGGGCAGCAGGCGGTGGCCGCGGTGCGAGCCCAGCGAGGCGCACACGCCGCACACGAGCGCGCGGTCCTGCTCGCAGTACACGCTGAGCGGGTCGAGGTGCTCCTCGCAGTGCCCCTGCGGCACCTGCGCCAGCCCCTCCACCAGGCGCGCCAGCTGCAGGTTGGTGCTGAGCGCCTGCGGCCGCGTGGGTGCCTGGCAGCACGGGCAGGGCGCCGTGCCGTCCGCCGCCGGCTCCCCGGCCACACGGCTCAGGCAGGCGCGGCAGAAGCTGTGGCCGCACTCTGCTGTCACCGGGGCGTCGAACAGCTGCAAACACAGCGGGCAGGACAGCTCCTGGCGCAGGAGGCCGGGCGCAGCAGACATGGCGGGCCTGGGTACAGAAGAGGTCAGTCAGGGAGGCTCAGCGGAGCCGCGAACCCAGCCCAGCCCCAGCCCCAGCAATATCCCGTATCAGGGACGTTGTCTCAATCCAGTTCTAAACACGGACCCGGATTGCAAACACAGTTTTACCCGCTGCCTTTCCCCTGTCTTAGCCCCAGGTTCTCCAAAGCTCCCAAGTCCTCCCCTCCCTCACTCATCCCCCCAGGATTCCCAGCCCTCCCCTCCCCCACATCTCCAGGCCCACAGGATCCACAGGACTCACGGGTCTGGTTGGAGATCTTGGGCAAAAAGAGACTTCCAGAAGGCTCAAAGTCAGGCCTAACTAACCGCAGGGGCGTCAGAGTTGTGCTGAAGATAGGTGAGAGGCAAGCAACAAGCTCAAAGCAAGGACAGGGGACTCACCAGGACAGCTAGCTAGCAGTGGACACCACAGGTGATGGGCAGCAGTGAATAGCATTCAGATCCTCCCAGACCGAGCCCTGGCCCCAAGACTATATTTAGCTGCCCTGCCTCTGCCTCCCATCATTTCTGGAAGCCGTTCTAAAAGTGAAGGCTGAGTGGTCAGGGAACAAGCAACACATGTCAAGGCCACCTGTCCTGGCCCATCCAACTGTCCCCTCCCCTGCCCAGTATGAAGCCAGAGCTCAGAGCCAGCAGGAGACATGGCCTCTCCATACCAGAGAGAAGAGACTGGTCTGCCCTTTCTCCCCCACCTCTACTTCCATAATCTCCAGCTTCCCCCTTCCCCAAGTGTGGCCCCTCCCCAGCTTGTCACCCACATATTTCCCAAGCTTATAGCTCTCAAAGTCACACTAACAGTAATATCTCCCCGTGCAGGGGCACAGGACCTCACCCCCCCCCCCCCCACCACCACCACCACCACCACCACCCTGAAAGGTTTTCCTCCTCCAGAGCTGAAGGAAGAGTCTTTTTTCTGTCTCTCCAGAGCTCAGCACAAGCCCGGGGACAGAGTTGGCCTCCTTAAATGCTTGAAAAATAAATAATAGAGTGACCATTGACTAAATGAATGAACTGAATCCAGAGCCTACAGCCCAGAAGTAGATTCTGCCCTGGGAGCCTGAGGCCTTCCTGTATTCTCATCCTTGAAATTTGTTTAAATTGCATTCAGAATAAAAGCCAAAGTCCTCACTGTGGCCTACAACTCTGCCCAGTTGACCCCATTAATCTCTCACCCCTCACCCGCTGCTCGCCCGGCCTTGGCCTTTGCACTTGCCATCCCCTTCGTCTGGGAAACTCAAACCATTCCCTCCCTGTCCTCACTCAGATCTTCAGCCCATGTCACCTTTTCAGTGAGACTTTTCCTGGCTCCCCAGTTTTAAATCTTACATCTTCCTTCCCTGCTTTCCCTCATAACATGTATCACCCTCTGACATGCAATATATTTAACTTGTTGGTTTTTTGTCTGTCTCCTCCTACCAGAATATAACTGCTTGTCTCCAACTTAAAGTGTGAGGCACAGCCCTGGCCAGTTTGGCTCAGGGGTTAGAGCGTCTGCCCACAGACCAAAGATTCGTGGGTTCAATTCTGGCCAAGGGCACGGACCTCGGTTGTGGTTCGTTCCGGCCCTGGTTGGAATTGTGCAGGAGGCAACCAATTGATGTGTCTCTCTCACATAGATGTTTCTCTCTCTCTGTCTCCCCTCCCACACACACACCCCTTCCACTTTATCTAGAGATAAATGGAAAAAATATCCTCGGGTAAGAATTAATTAATTAAGTGTGTGGCACACAGCAGGTGCTCAATAAATACCCAACAAAGGAATCAAGTCCTGGCCAGTTTGGCTCAGTGGTTAGAGCGTCACCCTGCGGTCCAGAGAGTCCTGGGTTTGGTTCCCACTAAGGGCACATGCCTCAGTTGCAGTTTGTCCCCAGCCCTGGTTGGGTCGCGTGGGTGGCAACCACTCGATGTGTCCCTTTCCCTTCAATGTTTCTCTCTCTCTCTCTCTCCCTCCCACTCTATCTGAACAAAAAAAAAGGAAAAATGTCCTCGAGTGAGGATAAAAAAAAAAAAAAAGGCATCAACACACAAACTCTTCTGGCCTTCGTTCCATTTTCTCTCAGCCTTTACCGGGATTTGCTCTTTCTCCCTCAACCACTCTTTCTCTCTCTCAGAAATTCTGTTTCTGTTTAGTCTCTTTATTTTCCCCTTGGACTCTCTCTTTGCCTTTCTCTTGGGTTTTTAATATTCATTTTATCCCAAATGTGCACACAAGGTGTTCTGGATCAGAGACAGACTTCTCATTAAATACCTTACAGTAAGTAGTCAATGTTTGGGCCCCCCTGTGCCCTAGGATGATGCAATGAGAGCCAGGTCCATTGTCCTGTGAGAGTAGCCAGACACCCCATAGGTGAGCAACAAGACTTATTTTTCCTGCTTATAAAGGGGAAGAAGGCCTCTGACCCCTTCCTCTCCTTAAAGGTCTTCTTACTCCAACTCTTTGGCAGGTAAATAAATCTCCCCAGGAGTCAGATGGCTCCTTGCACATCTTGAATTTTATGACAAGTCTGCAAGTTCTGGATTTGTCTTTAAGCTGTGGGCTCATATCTTCTTCTTTAAAAAAAATTATAATTTTTTATTTTATCCTCACTCGAGGACATTCTTCCACTTTTTGTTCAGATAGAGTGAGAGGGAGAGAGAGGGAGGGAAGAAGAGAGAGAGAGAGAGAGAGAGAGAGAGAGAGAAACATCGACATGAAAGGGACACATCAAGTGGTTGCCACCCGCACTACCCAACCAGGGCTGGGGACAAACTGCAACCGAGGTACGTGCCCTTAGCGGGAACCTCCAAACCCCCATCTCTCTGGACCGCAGGCTGATGCTCTAACCACTGAGCAAAACTGGCCAGGGCTAATTTTTTTTTTTTTTTTATGTGAGAGAGGAAGGGAGAGGGAGAGCGAGAAACATCTCATTGCACCAGCGACATTTTGGTGCATGGCAGGATGCCCAACCAACTGAGCCACACCAACCAGGGTGGGCTCATTTCTTCTTGAATGCCTGAAGCTTTTGCATGTTGCATGCTGGCCTTCTTAGGAAGCTACTCCAGGCTTCCTGGCACCTAGTGTAATAACTCCATTCTGACCCTCAGTTACTGCACATACACACCCTGAAAGACTCATTTTTTTGTAAACATAAGGGCCTTGAGAAACCCAAAAGAAGACTATAAAGATAAAGGGTTAATAATGGCCTTGGGAAACTCAGAGGAACCATGAGAAAAAAGAGATTAATGGTTGCCCTGGCCTCTGACAGCTGCTCTCACCCCCTTTCTATCAGGTCCCCTCCTTAACGGTGCCAAAAGCAGCACCAAGAATGTAGTTTTTTTCTCAATAGTTTGTGTCTATATAAGCAGGCAACAAAGAAGCCTCGGGGCTGTCTATTTGGGGAGAGCCCCCCTTCGGCACACCAGTGTACTAAAGTGCTCCTTTACAACTTGGCTGTGCATTTCTGGTCATCTCGCTGACACCTTACAACATTTGGAGGCCCCAGTGACATCCCTGGTACTTCATGGCATGAGGGCATAGACGCCTAGGATGAATGGCCTCTCCTGGTCCAGCCACTGGATACCTGTAGTTCTTTAGGGGGAGTACCCCTTGAGACGTTCCAGGGCCCCAAAGATCCTGCTTAGGTTTCCAATGAGCGGCTGGGAGATGCCAAGATTTAAGGAGCCCTGATAAAAAGCCTCCGGAGGTAGGTTCAGGGTGATTGGTCTTTCTGGGAGAGAGTGAGAGGGCCGGATGCAGCTTACTCTCCTCTCCGGGATCCCCCTAAGACGTTAGGTGGGGTTTATTCTGTTCCTACTGGATAAGACATTTTCCTTGGCCTGCCGCTGGGGCGGAAGGGGAGTCTGATCACTTCCCAGGAACTTCTGATGTGTGAATGTGACTGTGTGAATGTAATTGTGTGTGAGTGACCGTGCTCCACGACATTTGTTACGGAGCCTGTATAAGTCCTTACCTGTGGTCCCGTGATGACCTCATAAAGCTAAGGGCAGTCTGGCTGGTTTGGCTCAACAGTTAGAGCATCGGCCTGCGGTCCAGAGAGACCCGGGTTCGGTTCCCACTGAGGGCACGTACCTCGGTTGCAGTTTGTCCCTGGCCCTGGTTGGTCGTGCAGGTGGCAGCCACTCGATGTGTCCCTTTCACATCGATGTCTCTCTCTCTCTCTCTCCCTCTCTTCCTGTCTCTCCCTCCCACTCTGTCTGAACAAAAAATGGAAAATTGTCCTCGGGTGAGGATGAAAAAAAAGCTAAGGGCAGTATCAGATTCTTGGGGACATTCTGGTCTCCACCTGCGAACCTGATTCATGCCGGGGGGGTTATACTGGCCTGCCGATGCCAAGAGGCGTCTAAATCTCCATGAAGGAAACGTCCAGGTAGACAAAGCAAAAAGTTTCTGTCTTATGTGTCTTCCCTTGTTTTTGTCCTCGTTCTCCTCCCTACTGTGTCTCCCTCAATTTTGTTACAGTTAGTCTAATCATGGATAACAGCCCTAGTGCCCAGAAGACCTCATTGGGTTGCATAGTAAACATTCTTAGAGAAGGATTTGAGGAAGGTTCTGATTAGGGCACAAAAATACTAAAGGATGCCCTGGCCGGTTTGGTTCAGTGGTTAGAGCGTCGGCCTGCGGTCCTGAGAGACCCGGGTTCAGTTCCCGCTAAGGGCGCGTACCTCGGTTGCAGTTTGTCCTCGGGTGAGAATAAAAAATAAAAAAAATTTAAAAAAAATACTAAAGGAAAATTAAGGACCTTCTGTGAATTAAATTGACCCACATTCGGGGTGGGCTGGCCTGACATGGGATCCTTTAACCCTGAGTTAGTGCAGGCAGTTTGGAATCAGGTCACAGGGGAGCCACGACACCCGGACCATTCCCCTTTACTCATCAATAGCTTGATTTAATGAGACATCCACCCCCATAGTTAAAGAGCCATGCCCTCCGGACCAGGGCACAAATACTAGTAGTGGGCCGCCAACTGGGCCCCAAGAGAAACCTGGGAAAAGGTAGGGCAGTGCCTGCGAGGCAGAGATACAGCAAAAGGCCTGAACAGGGTTCCGGCACAAACATTTACTCTTTGGTCCCTAATTAAAAATTGCCTTAATCCAGTGCAGGAGACTAATAAGGTAGAGAAACAGGGTGTGGTAAAAAAAAACTTGGCAAAAGCCAAGAAAGGGGGAGTCCTTAAAGACTCCCCCACTGCCTTCCCTCCAGCTGTGATTAATATCTGTGCTTTAAAAGCCTGGAAAGAGCTCCCAACAAAAGGAGAGAATTCACTAGATCTTACATCCATCAGACAAGGACCTGAAGAGCCATATCAAGATTTTGTAGCTCGGTTGCTACAGTAGGCAGTTAACAGAATAATAAATGATTCAGGGGCCGGCACATCAATAGTTAAACAGCTTGCCTATGAGAATGCTAGTAAGCCCTGCAGAGAGGCGCAGAG